CACCGAGCTGTTGATCCGCAAGCTGCCCTTCCAGCGTCTTGTGCGAGAAATCGCCCAAGATTTCAAGACCGATCTGCGTTTCCAGAGCTCGGCTGTGATGGCTCTTCAAGAAGCTAGCGAGGCTTACCTTGTCGGTCTGTTTGAAGACACCAACTTGTGCGCCATCCACGCCAAGCGTGTCACCATCATGCCCAAGGACATTCAACTGGCCCGCCGAATCCGCGGAGAACGAGCATAAGTGGACTGCATCAACATTCAAACAAACGGCTCCTTTAGGAGCCACCACATGAATTAAAGCAATGATCAATGACTCCCTATAATATAATTAGGGTTTCAACTCCTAAGAATTGTCTCGCATCGACCTTCGTCAAGTTAGTGTCTTCCCTTGATAGGTTTTTTCTATCCTAGAATTACAGAGAAGGCTTCGGTAAAAGGCTTCACGTGTTGATAAAAAAATTCGGTTCGAGAACGACACAATCTATCACTGGTTACACGTGTATATCATTTCAAATGGAAAATTTTTATGATCGCTGTTACCATTAAAATTTTTGTGGGTGTGCAGTTTCAGCGAAAAACAAACTCATACACACGCAAAACGAAAGTTCACTGTAGTTGCAGAGATAGCCAACCGTCGAAAGAGATAACATGCAAGCAAATTTTCAATGATTTATCCTAGATAGATGGTCCTAGTCTCCTTTGCAACCATTGTTTGGTCTCGTCACGCAGGAGACTTAAATGCTTCAATTTCTGCCAAAGTGCTCTAATAATTGAAAAAGTAAAGAGGTCTTTACTGCTTACTAAGCTCGTCTAACGCATGAAGAAACTGTAAATTAACGAGGAAGCGTAGTATATGATCCTTTAAAAACCGACACGGCATAAAATTTTTCAAATTGATAACATTTTCATACTCTTTTGGAAAGCAGTCTGCTGTACGTTTAGTAACATTCCAAACCTTGCAATTGTTCACCGATCTGTTTTCTAAATGTTGTGAAATGTTTCCACGCAAAAATTTATTTCCTAGATTTATTGTGAATTTTATTGTGTATTAAGTGAGTTGTAATTTCGTTACCGTTAACGCACAGAGTCAACGTTACAATTAGAAGTAACATGTAATTGGGAGCGGCATAGGATAATCAAATTAGTTCAGCCAGCAGTGATGTATGAAATTAGGTATTTGCTAGGCGTTTAAGCGCGTAGGAACTTAGCACCATGATTGTCAAGTAAAGCCATATTTAATAGGAAATTAGTGCCTACGGATAGTTTTAGAATGTGAGTGAATCTTGAATCCCTAATAAATGTAACATTTTTGTAACCCTAAGATATTGGTAACCCTGTGATATTGAATTGTCGTCTATAAAGCCTGAATCAAGAGAAAGTATACAGTCCAAGATTACTGAACCAGCGTGTGCGGAATTCTAAGCAACGCAAGTGGGAAATTCTGCGAAACTAAACAAGTTTGTCAAGAAAGGGGCAGTAAATTGAGGCAAGCTGTTTACGTAAAGCCTTCCCACCAGCTGATTTGCACGCAGTTTGCTTGGTGCGGGCCATTCTTTGAAAAACGTTTCGAGACAATAAATATGTAAAACAAAATCTACTTATACCTTGGCGGGCTTGTATCTGATTGGCCAAGTGTGGAAACTGTAAATAATATCACAGTTATGTAGTTATATTTCGATCCGAATCGACCTCGAATGGTTTATAAGGCTTTGGAACATCTTTGAGCAGTGTTAAAACTTGCTTTAAAGGAGAGAATGCTTAACGAAATTGGTTTGTGATAGTTCAAACAACTAAATGTAAGCACTTGTTTGATTGCAAAGGATGGTAGCGCGCAGGCTAACAAATAGCTGTGCTTACATGATAATTTGAATAATATGTTTTGAAATAATTTGGCCTTTAGCCCTTTG